CCTCCTCCTCCTCCTTCCTCCTCCTCTCCTCCTCCTTCCTCCTCTCCTCTCCTCCTCCTCCCCTCCTTCTCTTCTCTTCCTCTCCTCCTCCTCCTCCTCCTCCTCTTCCTCCTTCCTCCTCTTTCCTTCCTCCATTTTCTCCTTCCTCCATCCTCCACCTTCCTCCTCCTCAATTTCCTTCTCCTCCTTCTCCTCCTCTCCTTCCAAATTTCTTCCTCCTCTTCCTCCTCCTCCTCCCATTTCCTCCCTCCTCCTCCTCCTCCTCCTCCTCCTCCTCCTCTTCCACCTCCTGCCTCCTCTTTTCCTCCTCTCCTCCATTTTCTCCTCCTCCATTTCCCTCCCTCTTCCTCCCTCCTCCTCCTCCTCACTCTACCATTTCTTCTCCTCCTTCTCCTTCCTTCCTCCTCCATTCTTCCTCCTCTTCCTCCTCCTCCTCCATTTGCTCCTCCTCCTCCTCCTCTCTTCCCTCTCCCCTTCTATGTCATTCTGCTTACTTTATCAATCAATCAATACAGTCTTATCAAATCACCTTTCTCCTTCTTACAGCCGCTTCCTCTTCTCTCTCCGTTTGTCTCTTCCTCTTTTAACCGCTGTCGCCTCATTTCTTCCTCTCTTCTGTCTCTTCCATTCTTCTCCCCCGCCTCCTCTATTCTTTTCCGTGTTTATCTTTCTTATGCTTTCTTCTATACTTCTCATCTCCTATCCCGTTGTCTAATTTTTTCCTTCTCTATTGGCCTTTTTTCCACTGCCTTATTCTGCGCTCTTTTCTCTCTCTCTCCCTTTATCTCCTTTTGTCTTCTATTGTTTTCCTCTTCTGCTTATCATCAGTTCCCACCTCATCATTTTTCATTCTTCTTCTTCCTCCTCGCCTTTTTCTCTCTTCTTACTTCTCTTCCTTTTCTTCCTTTCCATCCTCTCTTCTCTTCCTTCCACTCCCCTCTTTTCCCCCTCCCTCCTTTCTTCCTACCATTCCTCCTCTCTCCTCACCTCCCTCCAGTCCTCCCTCCTCCACTCTCCCCTCCCTCCCCTCCTCTCACCCTTTCCTCCTAATCTCTCTCGTTTCCTTCCTCTCTTCCTACCTCTTCATCTTCTCTTCTTCCCCTTCATCCTTTCTGCTCCCCCTTTTCATTCTCCTCCTCCCCCTCCTCCCTACTCTCCTCCTTCCCCCTTCTCCGCTTTTTCTGCTCCCTTTCTCCTATCCACTTCCCCTTCATACTCTCATTCCTCCCCTTTTTCTCTCTTTCTCCTCTCTTCTTTTTTCCTCTTCCCATCCAAAATATATCCTCCTCCCCCCTCCTCCTTCCTCTATCATTTTCTTCCTCTTCTTACCTCCCTCCCATCCTCACCCCCTTCCCGTCCTCCTCCCCCTTCCCTCCCTCCCCCTTCTCCCTCCCTTCCCCTCCACCCTTCCCTCCTCCCTCCCTCCCTCCTCCTCCCTCCTCCCTTCCCCCTCCTCCCCCTCCCTCCTCCCTCCCTCCCTCCCCCCCTCCTCCCTCCTCCCTCCCCCTCCTCCCTCCCTTTCCCCCTCCCTCCTCCCTCCCTCCCTCCCCTTCCCTTCCCTTCCCTTCCCTCCCCTTCCCTCGCCTCCTCCCTCCTCCTCCCCCTCCCTCCTCCCCTTCCCCCTCCTCCTCCCCCTTCCCTCCCTCCCCCTCTCCTCCCCCTCCCTCCCTTCCCTCCCTTCCTCCCCCCTCCTCCCTCCCCCTCCCCTCCCTCCCTCCTCCCCCTTCCCTCCTCCCCCCTCTCCTCCCTCCTTCCTTTCTATAAGCGGATGATAGGCCTATAGATTTAAACAATTCAAACCTCACGCATTTTAGGCCTGACCGATTTTCCGACCTCTGGTTCTGGGCGAAATCGGGCGGCCTGCTTCGGTCCCGTTCATGGCGCTGGAAATCGGATTTCAGATTCCGATTTCAGATTTTCTTTCTTTTTTTTTTTTTTTCTTATTTTCTTTTTGTGAAGAGCGATCTTTTGAGGGGGGGGGATGAATAAGAGAAATGGATAAATAATGATAATAAGAATAGTTAGGATGATGCTGATAATGAAAATGATAATAATTATGATCACGATGATGATACGGATGATGATGATAAAAAGAAAAACGACTAAGAATAGGGACAATAATGATAATGACAATCGTCATTATCTTAAGAATGATAGAGGTGATGTCAGTGATGATGATGACAATAATGATAATGAAGATGATGACGATGATAATAATGATAACGATGATAATGATAACAACAGTAATGGTAATAGTTATGATGATGATAGTGATATAATAAAATAGCGAAAAATTGCATTTTGATGATGGTAATGATAAAGGTAATAATAATACTTATTACTATATAAAAGGTTAATAATGATGCGGATAACAGTTGTAATAGAAAGAATGATAAAGATGACAACAATGAAAATTATTTTGATTTCTATTAATGATAATAATGATAATAATGATAATAATAATGATAATAATAACAATAATGATAATATTGATAATGTTAATGGCATAAATAATACTAATGATGATAATAATAAAAATTGGTATTCATAATGACAATAATGATAATGATTATGAGTAGGATATTGATAATAATAGTAACAAAAATACTAATAATGATAATAATAACAATGACAATAATAATGATTGTAACAGTGATATTGATAACAATGATAACAATGGTGATAATGATGATGATGATGATAATGCTAATAATAATGATACTAATATTAATAATCCTTATAATAATAATCACAATGATACTAATATTCACAATAATACTAGTGAAAACAATAATAGTGACGATGATAATGGAGCAAGGAAGATAACACGACAATGATAACAATAGTAATGATAATGATAATGCTGAGTTAATAATGATAAGGATAATAACCATATTGAGAGAGAGAGAGAGAGAGAGACAGAGAGAGAGACAGAGGACAGCAGAAGAGACAGAGAGAGAGCATAAAAAATCGTTAATAAGTGTGAGCGCCCCGTGCTCTGCTCTGTCGTAAATTTTAAAGAAAAGGAGCGACAGAGGAGTGTGGAAAAGAAAACGAAAAGAAAGAAGAGAAAAGAGAAAAGAAAGAAAACGGGATTCCTCCGACAGGAACAGGACGCCTACATTTATTAGGGAAATGGCATCGGTTACGAGGCGTCGCGGCTTCGCGTGGGCGGCGGGCGTGAGGGGCGCCGCAGAGGGCGGGCGCCTCCGCCCCCGTCTGCGTCCGGTGGGCGTGGCGTAGACGGATGGGCTTCTGGTTGCAGGAATGCATGGATATGTATATATACACATGTTTATATATGTATACATACACACGCACACACACACGCACGCACGCACGCACGCACACACACGCACACACACGCACACACGCGCACACACACACACACACACACACACACACACACACACACACACACACACACACACACACA